GGAACAGAGAGGTGGAACTCTTACTTTCCTCCTATAAGGGAGTTACTCTTTTAATGAATTGGCAGAAGGAGTCTTCTAACAATGTATGGGGGAGCTGTGTGTTGACCAATGAAAGAATCCAAGATTACGTAGTTAATTTCAATTCCCTGTAAAGAAAGAGTGATATCTTCATCTTGGTACTTGTCACACAGAGAAACATAAAAGGCATACCTAAACTATAGAACTAAAACTGTGCAAGTTGTTTTTTCTCCACAGAAAAGCACTAAGATTAGGAAAGCTAGTAAGAGGAGGAGGACAAAGTGAATCTAAAGGTGCATCTACACTGCAGAATTAATGCAGTTTGACACATGTTAACAGTCATTGCTCAATGATATGGAACCCTGGGATTTGTAGTTTGGTGAGGCACAAGCACTGTTTGGCAGAAGAAGGCCTTGTACAATTCCAACAATCCCATTACATTGTTTCTATGTTCATTTTAAAGTGTAGATGAACCCCCACCCCCCACTTTGATGTTTTTAGAATTTCTAGTGCCTGACTTTACAACCAGGTTCCCCACCAGATATTGGACTGCAACTCGTATCATCGCACAGCATTGAATATGCTGTCAGGGTTTATGGGAGTGACTGTCGAAGAACATCTAGAGGCATTTATGATTTCACGGTGAATGTGTAATTACCCATTATTTATTTTGTTCCTGCCCAGAATTCAATTTAGGGCACCCACATGCATAGACTTCCTAATGGGATGTTAGACTGAGACCATCAACAGAAGGCAACTATTTAGCGTCTCAGATAGAGATCTTTCAGCCTAACTGTTATTCAAGCTCTTTAATTACTAATGCTAGTGACTGTTTTTGAGAAATCCTTCATTCTAAATGTGTGCCCCACCACTGAAATATGGCTTTTCCTTGCTCCACCGGCTGACTGCACAGGGAGGTCTTGCAAATATTTTCAATGATGCATCAAGATCATGCCTCACCTTGTCCCAGAAAACCTGGATAGAAAATGTAACCAAGATATAGTTTATGGTTTTGTCATATGGCAGACTGATTCCACTGCCAAGTATACCAGGTCACAGCAATTCATCACATTACTGTTGCAATAAATAAAAACGAATGGGAGTTTCTTTAAATTCCTACTCTCCAGGTAGACACAGTGTCACTCACTACCTTTTGGGATGTCTCTTCCCATCTAGAGAGGAGGCCACATGATGGAGAACAGGCATTGCCTCAAAATAGATGCATTGGCTGTCACTTCAGAGGTGGGAGAGGAGTACCTGGTCCAAAAAGGGTTGTGTTGTTGAAGGCTTTCATGGTAGGAATCACTGGGTTGCTGTGAGTTTTCTGGGTGGAATGGCCATGTTCCAGAAGCATGGCCATATAACATGGCCATCAGGAGAGAATACTTCTGGAACATGGCCATACAGCCTGGAAAACTCACAGCAACTCAAAAAGGGTGGTTTTGAATATCAAGGAAGGCAACATTATTTCCTAATGTACTATAGCTTCCACACTACCTATTCTTTGACCATGTAGACTGGGGACTGTGGGAGTTGTAGGAAAACTTCCATAGGGTGCTAAGATGCTTCTGCTAGCAATATAGGGTGAATTACAATTCCCATCATCTCATTGTCACTGCTGACACTTAAGAGTTGCAGTCCAACAAAATCAGGATGAAAAGTCTCCCCAGTTTTGATCTAAGGCAGCAAGAGAAGAAGAAATAACTGAAGCAATAGCCAAAGTTGTTGTACAAGCAGCAAACTGCAAACTCCGCGCATTGTCTTTTCTTACTCAGGCAAAGATATTTTGGACTATAATTCCCAGAACATCCCATCCAATATGATAATAGGTGTGCCGACTGGACCCTTCTGTGAACTGGATTTCCTGCAGTCACATTTTCCAAGCTCTTGATTCATTGATGAATTAGGATGAGGTCTTGAGAGTTGTTTGAGGCAGGTAAACTATTAACTAGTGTAGATCAGCTTTTTCACAATGATGGGTCTTCAGGCACAATCGGAATACAACTTCTGTCATCCTGAGGCACCATGGCCAATGAGGGCAGTGGTAGTTTAAAATCTGCAGGCCCAAGCTTGAAAAGGGGTGTCTTAGATCAATGCTGCTCAAAATCCATGGACCAATGTCAGTCTGTGGTGAGTTTCCAGTAAAACAAGAAACAGTTGTAGTCTATGGACACAAATATTATGGTAATCCCTGGCAGGAGTCGGGAGAAAGCCTGCTATGCTCCATATCAGACAGCTTAAAAACCAATGGTTTAGATAATGGATAGGGGTTATGTAGCTCTCTAGATGTGACTGGTCGGCCACTTACTCACCTCTAGTTCTTAGGGATTAGGGCTGGCCCAGATTCACTATCTTTCATGAAAAAGATCTGCCTTACTTTGATTATTTTGCAGTCCTTGGTGGTATCCAGTACTCTACAATATCATTCAACAGCTACATTTTTGTGAAACTACAGATATCTCTCATGTGCCAGAAAAGTGACTGGGCTAATTAAAGACTAAGGATTAACAAAAGGTATTTTAAAGGGTGGGAACTAGGTAAATCAAGTGTACTTATATAGAGGTGAGAAAGCCGAACCTTCTCAAATTCTTTGGTCTGTACAGTAACCTGTGTTCCTATATCCCCCAGATACTGATGGATTTGTTATTGTAGTTAATATTCACAATTACCTGCAGAAGAAAGATTTATTGTGCTACTTTTGTGCTCCCTGGCGCCAGAGTTATGTTCTAAATCCAGAAACAAGATAAAATTTCTCCCTGAAGTGGTGCATGAGAAAAGGTGGAGCTGTGACTCACACTGGAATCAGCTTACTGTGGTAATGCCAGGTAAATACATATTCAGAGCAAAAAGCTTGTCCTTGACAGCTGATGAAACATGCTTCAGAATACCTTGAGGGTAAAAGTGACTCCCACCACTCTGTCCCTCTTTCCGCTCACTGCCCCATGCTTATCCATCTCTACGCTTGAGCTATTTAGGAACCAAGAAGAAAAATGGAAGAGATACCAGGCAACAAATACATGCAGTGTTGAAAAATGCAGTCCAATTCTAGGAACCAACCTTATCTTTTTCAGTGTTTTTGATCACAAAAAGGGCAAAATATATGGTATAATCATGGCCATGACAAGATTTCCAACAGTTGGTCAACGGACTAATGTCAGTCTGTGGTGAGTTTCCAGTAAAACAAGAAACAGCTGTAGCCTATGGACACAAATCAATGGGATTTAAGTCACCCATGACTGACAACCTCATTGATTTCAGGGGTCTATCTCATCGTACCTAAGGACAAACCTTTAGCCAAATAGCAATAGGGTTTTAGGTGGATTTCATTTTGTTGTTTATTTGTTCAGTCGCTTCCGACTCTTTGTGACCTCATGGGCCAGTCTACACCAGCTCCTTCAAGGCCAAGCCAGTCAACCCCTCTTCCTTTTTCCTTCCATTTTCCCCAGCATCATTGTCTTCTCCAAGCTTTCCTGTCTTCTCATTATGTGGCCAAAGTACTTTATCTTGCCTGTAATATCCTTCCTTCCAGTGAACAGTCGGGCATTATCTCCTGGAGTATGGACTGGTTTGATCTTCTTGCGGTCCAAGGCACTCTCAGAATTTCCCCCCAACACCACAGTTCAAAAACGACTATCTTCCTTCGCTCAGCCTTCTTTATGGTCCAGCTCTCGCATCCATAGGAATACCATTGCTTTAACTATGAGGACCCTTGTGATGTCTCTACTTCACTATTTTATCGAGATTGGTCATTGCTCTATTCCCAAGAAATAAACATTTTCTGATTTCCTGGCTGCATCTGTAACTGCAGTAATCTTCACGCCTAGAAATACGAAGTCTGTCACTGTCTCCACATTTTCTTCCTGTATTCGCCTGTTATCGGTCAGTCTGGTTGCCATAATCTTGTTTTTTTAAAAAATGTTTAAGTGCAACCCAGCTTTTGCACTTTCTTCTTTTACCTTGGTTAGAAGGCGACTCAGCTCCTTCTCACTTTCAGTGATATCACCTGCATATCTAAGGTTGTTAATGTTTCATCCAGCAATTTTAACATAACACATCATGCATCACATGTTGCATGATGTGTTATGCATACAAGTTGAATAGGTAGGGTGAGAGTATACAGCCCTACCATACTCCTTTCCCAATTTTGAACCAGTTTGTTGTTCCATGATCTGTCCTTACTGATCTTATTTGGTTGTTATACAGATTCCTCAGGATACAGACAAGGTGGCTTGGTATCCCCATAATACCAAGAACTTGCTAAACGGAATAACCCATCTCATACATTTTTTAAAGCTTTACAATATTTGGCATGTCGGTAACATCTATATTTTGGAAGAGCATTTTTAAAAATGAGGGAGAGGAATGTGAAACCAGACTCCAATTCTGTTGACAAAATACTCCATGCTTTATTTTTTAATTTAATATTTATTTTTAACTTAAGCAATGGGCATTTAGCAGGTCCAAATTGCTCCCACACTCTGAGGGATCTACATGTTTGTTTCAAAAGGTCTCTAAACTTGTTAACCATAGATGCTCTATAGAAGCTTTGGTTTGCAAAAGGGCATTTTAATTACATTACCAATTACAATAGAAAATCCTGACCTTTTTAATCTGTTAATTAAGTGCACAAGATATACAATTCAACCACATCTTCTCCTAGGTTGCAAAAGTGTTGTAATCTGTACATTGGAAGAAAACAAGATATTAATTCTTCACTCCTCCTTCATATGAAATAAACTCGAGATGTCTGCTATTTCCACTTAATAGTTGAATATTGCTTGAAACATTTTGCCAACAAACCCAACAAAGCAAGAAAGTGTCAAGATATAAATCAATAATGTAAACCAGCTATTTGAGACATTTGCTGTTTTTCTTCATGACACAATTACATCCTATTACTTTGTTCACTCTGTAACATCTTACCACTGAAATATTTCATGAAATTTCGAATGGATTAATTTGAACAGAATAGATACAAAGTATAAAATCTGCTCAACTTCACTGGTTTATTGCTAGATGGGTGATGCAAAATGGAGTGGCAAAAGTCTTGATGGAATAACACCTTAAGAAAGCTCATGTTCATTAAGTAAAACAACCTTTTCCGCCTTCAAAACAATTCTGGAAAGACTACAGAAATTATAATGTAAGTACTTAATGCCCTTATCAGTTTTCTCATATTGTTAATATAGACTTCAAGCTTCTGGCTCATATTTGTGGAGAAGGAACTGTCAGCAGACCAGTTGGCTTGATTTTGTTTATGCCTCCATCCAGAATGCAGACCCTTGGATATTTGATTTTCACTAGATGCGCTGCAAACTGAAGCAGAAAGATTCAGTCAGAATATTCCATGAAATCAATATATGCATACATACTTTATAACTTATATTGGAGGAAATATAAAGAATACTGTGGTTCCGCAAAGTGGTTGAGGGATTTGCTGATAAAGTTTTAATGACTATTTTAAGGCCTGTCAAATAAACAACTATACTAGAACCATTAGTTCTTTTATTCTCTCTTCATTTGGAAACTGAAGTTCATGTGTGTTATAAAGATTACATCCTTATTAGCAACTGTATGTATGCAAATGACAAGAAGAAGAAAAAGCAAAAATAGCCTCAGATTTGAAATCTTTTCTGGGATCACGCACCAGCTGAAATGTGTACAAAAGTTTCTCAATATGAAAAGGAAAGTAATTTCATTTATCTTTCTGCATTAAAATGGGCTATGAAATTCTTATTATGTTGGGAACGGGATATAACTAAGTGGCAGAAGGTGGGAAGTTTTAATCTTGTGGGCAGAAGGTGCCAGTTTTAATCATTGCCCCCCACCCCCAAGGTGAGGGGAGATCAGGTGCAAGTAATGGGAATATGACCTTGAAAAAACAGTTTATAGGCAATACTTAACCAAGTAGATAACTGTCTGAACTGAGATTGTAACTGCTGCAATCCATATCACATAGAAGTGGAGGGTGATGTTGGCACTGCTAGTCACCATTATGATTTCAACCACAGTTTGTCAATATTTTCTCTTCCCGAAAATGTAAACAGTCAGTCTCCTCTGTTCTTCTATCAGTAACTTTGTCCTTGACATCAAAACAGTGAAGTTTGCTTGTGCTGACTACTACAACTGGCAAAACCAGCTCTGAGTATTCCTTGCCTAAGAAAAACCTATGAAATTCATAGGGTTGAACAGAGTCAAAATGTGGATCTGGATGTACAAATTGAAATGTTCGTTTTTTCTAGTCAATATATTTTGTGAACCTACACAAACCTGTTTTGTTTTTCATGTTGAAGATAGAATTTTAGTACATGATCTAACTTCATTTTATTTGTGTAGACAATGACACTGTTTTGTAATGTCATTGTCTATAAAAATGCTTGTGTTACACGAACTATTTTAATGAAGACCAAAGCCAAACAATAACTTGCATTGTTTGGCACCATCCAAGCCGGTGCCAAATTAATACAACCTGATCAGAAGAAGATCCTGTCGAGTGAGACAACTCCTTTATATTCCTCTACAGAAGAAGACTAAAATGTATGGGCAAGGCACATGCTTCTTCGCTCTTTGGGAAGAACTCTACAAACTTTCCCTTCACATTCTTTAAGCTTTCCCATCTCCAGGACTTGTCATTCTTACTGGTGTGACTAGACTGGTGTGTCTATTGTTGAATTCCTTTTTCCTACTTTCCTAACTTGCTGTGATCATCTTAAAAATATTCTGTTTCTCAATTCTTCTGTCCTAATGTATCCTGTCTGTGACCCTCAGTTCTCTAGTTCCATCATTACTGGGAGTCTCCTTATCCCTTGCTGGGAGCTGCTTTCCAAAAACACCTACATGATGCTACCTCTCGTCTTTGCCACAACATCTTTCAGAAACCCATTAATCCTCATATCTCAACATTATGTATGCCAAAGCATCTATAATTAAAAATAAAAGCATCTCTTTCAGCCAATAACTTCTGCCCATTCTTCCAGTATTGCATTAGAGACAGTGAAGTTCCTTGAATAATGCTTGGTAAAGTTGAAGGTGGCAGGAAAACAGCAAGAGCACATTACAGGTGGATTGACTCAATGGAGGAAGCTGTAGCTTTGGGTTTCCAAGACTTGAGCAAAGCTGTTGCTGTTGGGGGCTCCTGCAGGTTTCTAATTGAAAGGGTCACCGTTAAGTCAAAGGTGAGCCGATGGCACAAAGCTCCTTTAGGAAGGAAGAGAGCTCTTGCTCTCTGTATAACATCATGCACACCGATTGTGTTACACAAGTAAATGACACTTGTGTATATCATTTTACTTAACTACTAACGTGACAGGACAGTAAGTAATACATTTATTGAAAATATTTCTGCAGCCTTCCATATCCACATGTAGTTACAGTACTAATGTGATGAAATAGTAGGGGCATCACTAGGAAGCTGCTGCCAAGTCACTGCATTTGTGTAGATGAAGATTTCTCCCCCCAGAAATAGAGAGAAAAAGAGAAAAGTGCCTATTAATAACCTTCACGTGAAATGCCAACCCCCCCCCCCGCATCATATTTCAAAAAACATTGTACAGCTGCGACTCTAAATTCTACTTATCCAAAAAGCAACTTTTTGCGTGTTGCAATATTCTCTTCTAACTCAAAGCCGATAAATCTTGTGCCGCCTTGTTCTGTTGCAATGCCTAAGTCATCACAACATAGTAAAACAAGACTTTCATTGAAACTTTTGACAAATGACCCCTTTAAACTTCTTGATAGGACTGAGAGGCTATTACTGTTGTCATGCAGGGAGATCCATAGCAACCCGGCTGGAGAGGATCTGTGACAACATCTAAAATAGTAGAGAAAGAACAGTGATTTGGATGACTTGTTCCTAGTTTGCTAGCTGGGTGGTCTGGGGCAGCAAAGAATGCTAAAGAGACACCAAATGGCTTAAACTCAAAAGGGATAGAGTAGGAAAAGTGGCACTGAAGTAGGGGGTCTTGTACATAAAATTTGGGAAGACATTTACTGATGGAAAAAGAAGACAGATAAAAGAAAATACACAGATATATGCATACCTCCTTCTAACCAGGGAAAGCATTGGATAAAATAAAAGAGGAAGAACGTAAAATGTCAGTCAACTTTATCCCAGCCCAAATGCAACCACAATTCTGAGTTCCATTTAGTGTATTATGCAATTGCACCAGATAGGCAAGGTACTATTTGACATATCAAATTTCACACAATTATCTGTCTTCTGTTTAGGAAATCATCTGCATCCTCTGTGCAGCAACAGTGCGTACATGCAATGAATGAACAACCAGACATATGTCACAGATTACAGCACGCATGCCAGTTATTTAATGAATACGATATTACTTTGAACTAAGGCATTCTTCAAAGGAAAGCTTGGAAAAAAATTACTTTTGGATCAGAATTTCCAGAATCCCTCACTAGTCATGTTTGCTGGGGATTGGGGAGAAAAGGTCCAAACACTTTGAAATTTCTGTTTCAAAATTAAATGCTGATGGAATGAATTTGTACTAATCATATAGCAAATATTAATTATACAACATATTCCGCACATATTACAGTTTATACAGTAGAACATCTAATCTGCTCCAAGGGTTTTAACAACCAAAAAGATATCACAGGGGAAACAAAAGAAGAAAGGAAGTGGAGAGAGCAATAAACAAGGGAGGAAAAACGTGCTTATTTCAGCTACATGTACTTAAGCTTAGCTACTTTTGGGAATGAGAAATACAGAGTTGTGCCAAAGGCTGCATTTTTCTTTACTTTTTACCCATGCTACTAAATTACAGTCACCAGTATTACCTTAATATTTTTGGCAAGTTAAACATCAACAGAAACATGCAATTAACATGCAGAGACTGAAATCGGAACTCAGCTAAGATGTTTTCTAGGGCCGCCTGATTTCTTATCCACAAAGCCACAATCTATGACAGTTACAGCAAGTCTTTCTTCCAAAAGAAAAAGGTTAAAGGTTGTTTTTGGTATGTATATGGCTGGAGGGAAAGAGAAAGAACAGCCACTGCAAATATTTACAAGGATTTCTGAAAGGTTCTTTTGCAATGTGGGTAGGCCATGAAATCAGCTTTGGAAAAACGTGCTCTCAGTCTCACCATAAACTGGAAGAATGAAAAATGGCGAATGAATGATATAGATATAAAATGATTGTGACTAGTGATAATTATACTTTAGAGGCTCATTATAGGTAAAGGTAAAGGTTTTCCCATGACATTAAGTCCAGTCATGTCTGACTCTGGGAGTGGTGCTCATCTCCATTTCTAAGCCATTACCTTCCCACCAGAGCAGTACCTATTGATCTACTCACATTTGCATGTTTTCGAACTGCTAGGTTGGCAGAAGCTGGAAGCTCACCCTGCTCCTCGGATTCAAACTGGTGACCTTTCAGTCAGCAAGTTCACAGCTCAGCGGTTTAACCCACTGTGCCAGCAGGAGCTCATTATACAAATATATATATATTTTAAATATTTTTTCCAGTCAGTATTTCAATTCTATCAAAGACATGAGGCTTTTGGTTTCTCAAGAGCAAAAGCTCTCCATGCCATGAACCTCCCATTACAAAGGAAGCCTTGCCTCTGTTTATGTATTGTCTGTCTCTGTCTATCGTATAACAGCATTGAATGTTTCCCATATCTGCTCTGAGTCCCCTCGGAGACAGAGCAGAATATTAATAAAGTATATGATTATTATTATTATTATTAATTACCAACTACTATATCCTCCAGGTATTATTTCTGAAAATGTTCTTAGTGCTTACTCTTAAAGAAAGTATCTGTCTATCTATCTACAGTGTGTGTGTGGATTGCCCATAGAATAATAGAAAGATGAATGTGAGTGCAACAGAGAAAAAAAATAAAACAAAGGAAGAAAAATGAGAGTAAAATATACACAAAAATTACAAATGAATTATTTTTGTCAGTATCTTCTTATTGTTTCATCCTTCATATGAAAACAGTAGTTTAATTCACACACACACACACACTTCAAACTGAGCAAATAAAAAAATGTATAAGAGTATGGCAGCACGAAATCATTCCAAAACTTCTTGCCTTAAATATACTTCTCTGGCTGTGAATTTATAGCTCAGCTCTGACTATTTATATTATACTCATGTATCAGAAGCTAAAACCCTTTGTTTACAGCTCGACTGTCAGCCTTCATGTTCCTTGATAGGTGATTTGCCAGATTATGTTTATACCAGACCACCGACAGCAGCAAAACCCCACATTTTTCAAGTGTGTTAGTACATTACACACATCATGCTCTCAGTTTGTATACAATTGAGATTCCATTAAGAGAGAAAAAAA